TTCTTAAACTCCTCCAAATTATATTCTCCACCATTGTCTGATCTCAAACACTTCACTTTCAGGTTTGTCTCATTCTCCACCATGGCTTTCCACTTCTTGAAGATGCTGAACACCTCCGACTTGTGCTTCATGAAGTATACCCACACCTTCCTCGAGTGATCGTCGATAAAGGTGACGTAGTACGCCGAACCGCCAAGAGAAGACACGCTAGCTGGACCCCATACGTCTGTATGAACAAGCTCTAGCTTGTGAGCTTTAGGTGGTCTTCCACCCTTCAGAAAACTAACTCTCTTCTGCTTCCCGAAGATGCAGTCTTCACAAACACCGACTTCCACCGAATCGATGCCAGTTAGCTTCCCTTCTGAGTGTAGAATCTTCATACCCTTCTCACTCATGTGTCCCAATCTATTATGCCACAGATTTGCACTCTCCTTGTCTGCAGCAATCGCGAGGGTGTCACTCGCGTGTGAAGTTAGGTAGAGGGTACCGGTCTTGTTGCCTCGGGTAACCACCATGGTACCGTTGGAGATTTTCCACGAATCTCTGGTGAATGTTGTAACATAGCCTTCTGCTCCAAGCTGACCTACCGAAATAAGATTCCTCTTCAACTTCGGTACGTGTCTGACATTCTTCAGAGACCACTTAGAGCCCTTCAACTGTATTTGCACGTCGCCTCTTCCAATGACACTACAGGGTTCATTATCCCCCAAGTATACTTTTCCAAAGTCCCCTGTTACATAGTTCTGAAATAGCCTTCTATTAGCAGTGGCGTGGAATGAGGCTCCCGAATCAATAACCCATAAATCGGAATCGCTATCCATAGCGAGAATTAGCGCATCTTGCACAATATGAGCCTCCTGCTCATTTTTTTGGGTGCTTTATAGGTAGAAGACATGTGGCCCTCCTGGCCGCAATTCCAACATTTCCCCTTGATAGGTCTCACCTTTGAGTTCGACCTCTTCTTCTTCGACTTTGATCGATTCCTGTTTTGGTTCCCCCTATTATGGCTTCTGCCTTTCTGCTCGAGACTTAGGGATGAACCTGAACCTTCTGATTCATTCGATTTTCTTCTAACCTCCTCGGATAGAATCATAGCTACCACATCCTTTAGCTTCAACTTCTCCTTCTCTGCCGAGTTGCTTATTGCGGTCACGCAACCTGCCCAACTATCCGGCAACTGCGATAGTATCAATAGGGCCTGCACTTTGTCATCGAACTTGATGTCGACTGAGATAAGTTGATCAACAATCGTGTTGAACTTGCTGAGATGCATCGTGAAGGAACATCATTCTGCCATCTTGAGGTTGAATAGTGTCTTGACGAGATGCACCTTATTTGAAGCTGACGGTTGCTCGTACATCATTGCGAGCGCTTCCATAAGTCTTACCGTCGTCTTCTCCTTTAATATATTGTGTGCTACAGATTTTGCGAGGGCCAATCGGACCTGCCCCAGGGCTTTTCGATCCAATATTTCCCAGTCCTCGTCGGATTCTTCTTTCTTCTTTCCTCTTGCTTTACCCATCAACGGACGGTAAAGATCCTTCTGGTACAGATAGTCTTCCATCTGTGACTTCCAGTAGGCGAAGTCTGATCTGTCAAACTTCTTAATTTTAGATTTGCCTTCTTCTGCCATTTCTTACACACACGGATCTAAACAAGGGCTCTGATACCAGTTGTTGGGGAAATATCAGATACGCTCTGATACCCGTTCTGTGGAATTTACCCTACCGGATCTTGTGTTAAGTAATAAAAAAAAGAAATCACAGCAAATCTAAATTACAAGAATAAGAACACCGAGTTTTAACGAGGTTCGGCAATTTGCCTACGTCCTTGGGAGCCACACAAATAATTTTCTTTATATTAAAGAAGATTACAAAGCTTGTAAAGGAGTAGATCTCAAACTTGAGATCTCTCTCAAAAGAAGAGCCAAACAGAAACTCTCTATTGTTCAAATAAAGGCGCGAGATTTTACAACAGTAAAATCTCCTCTTTTTCTCCTCAATAAATGTTACAGGAACTCTCTCTATCTCTTCTTGAATTTTCCCTTCCTTATTAATTTCCCCCAAATCACAGACTTAGGGCTCTCTGAAATAAATGAAGAAGAAAAGGCCGCTGCTTGGAGAGATCGCGAGCGAGAGAGAGAGAAAGAAGATCGGCG